GTTACAGGTGAGTCGAACAAGAGATCTGTAATATGTTCAGTATTTATCAGTGAAGTCACATCGCATTCATCAGTCGACAGTCGTTCGATAACCATTCCAGTTGAAACGCTGAGTGCAAGACGTTCTCCAACAAAAACTCCAGTGTAGGAAGGGGACACATTCATCGAGACAAAGTTTCAAAATGCATCTGCTGAATAGATGTGTTGTCACCACCTTCCGAAGAACTTCGGGAGGAGTAATCGAAATTCGCATGTGTGGTTGATAGAGCATATTCCGAAGTAGTTAGGAATACACATGAACTCTGCAAAATTGACAAACAAACGTGGTGTAAATTATTCTTATCATTCTTATTCTTTATCACCTCACATCAATTTGTGTGTTTTCATGAAAATTAGCTCGACAAGTGACTGTGTGAGGAATCAGATCGTACAGAATCTATTGGTTGAAACCACCAAATGTTTCAGATAATCTCCGTCTCCTAATAACATTGTCCAAATTTATAAAAGGGACTGATTATTTCAAATTTTCGATAAAAGGCGCTTTTCATACACACAAAGTTTGCAACCTAGGAATGTGACCTTCCTTGCATATTTATATTATTACACCTATAAACAGGAAAGACAGTCTGACTAACGTCTATACATGTTGTACACGTGATATCAGCTTTGTTGTGGTTCGCCATTGAGGTGATGCCTGTAAACTGGCGTCCGCCTTCCACAATAAACATAGAAGGTGATGATAACCAGTCAGTGGACAAGCCCACGATATTTACCGGAGTATGTGAAGCCTGAAAATAGAGACACAGACTGAAGTCCTTGTGGTGGTCAATGAGGCCTGGAACCTCATTTAGCACACTGATTTCAGTGCAAACGCACATAGGCCAACGTGTATTCGAAAGGGTCAGAAAGTGAATGATAACTGACTGACAATGGACAATGAATAGGCGTCATTCATACGTGTTTGAAGATGTTTAAGTAACAGTGAAGACTCAGGACTTGACTACATCCTCAGGAGTCACACCTGGATTTAATAAGCTCACTCATCACCTGGATTTCCTTGATCCTGCTTTTTTCCTAAATGCTGTCGTCATCAGGATTTTCTGTCTCCTCGAGATTCGTCGCATCTTCCTTAATCCATGCAAAGTTTCCCAAAACTCCAGCGCTTCATTCAGGGTATCGTGCGCTTATCCACACACAAATGACATTCTAATAACCAGTCCAAACACATCACTGGATTATTTAACTTCATGTTATCTCATGTTCTGATTGATCGTACAGTCTACAGGGATTTGGACGACAAGCAGATTTCACCGACTATCACTCGAACCTCCGCTTGTATCACAATGCACTGTCCAATATAGTGTTAACTTGTCTTTATGAAGTATGGTGAAGGCTGACAAAGATTTTGGCGAAAAACAGTCCCCCTCTGTAAATTTTCCTCCACTGTGAACACTGTCTTCAGTTGTACCGTTATCTCTGTATTGGATTATATTGATCGAACTTTACCTTAACTTCGCAATTTATCATCAAGCCAAACACTCTGAGGAGACAATTGTTCCCCTACAAACATATACACTCAATGTAACTGACTGACTACATTGTTATTATTCCTTATCATCAATATGTCATCATGTTATCAATAGTGTGATCAACTTGCTTGTTATCCACTAGTTCACAGACTTGATGAGGAGTTACCGAAAAGGTTTGTTTGATTAAATTCTGTTCTCTAGTTTAAGTGATGCGAGTAGTTAAATTAATATCTGTTTGTTCATGTGCTTCGAGTTCTCCACGATCTCGGAACATTCCACCTAATTTTGATTTTCGCTCTCTGAGTTGAACTCACTAGTAAGTTTCGGAATACACGTAATTGATTGTCTGTCATAATTTGACTCTACTATTCATTCAAAATATGTATCAATTCACTCTGTTCTCCGATCTTGTATTTTGTCTCTAGTCAATCCTGATTTCCAAGCGAAGTTTTGACTGTACCTATCTCACTAGTCTAACTGTGCCGTAAACAGTCAGTCTTTTAACACTGAATAATTTGTCTATTCACATCATCCTGTGAATTGTGTTGTCTAAACGTTCTGTGTTTAACTCCAAGTCACCGTGAATGATGTGTTCAAACATTTTGTAACTTATAATTAGATTTAGCTGACTATGTTCGCAGTGGAAGAGAATCCACGAAACTAACCAAACTCGTATTCTCCTGCAAATGTGTTCGTTATTTCTCTGTCCGAACCGATAATGAGAAATGATTGTAGGATAGGACTGAGTTATAGTGCGAGGAAAACTACAGTCACAGGTGAACTTTCCGTCACTTCATCTCTATTATGACTATGACATTCTACACACACCGCCATTTTCGAACATTGTAGAGAGAAGTCAAAGTGATGCCAAAATATTATCATTATTATAATTATAAATAATTTTATTATTATTATTTTTACAATTATCACTAGTACTACTACTACGACTACGACCACATATCAGTACTAAAGTCTAATCAGGTGAAAGAGAAAAGAAGAAGCATGTTGTCTTCAAATGATTAGTGAAGACGGTTGAATATATATGTTCATCTGACACGGATTAATATGTTAAATATCCTGTCAGTGAGTGGTATTTGTCCTTCAAGAGCAGAAGAAAGAATGCAAAAGTGATGAATGAATGAATGAGTAGTTTCAATAACATTGAGGACGATACTGAAGGAATGCAAAACGTTTCATAAAGTGAATCAGCCACTAATTTTCGACATATTCAGTCTCAAATGACTGAACTGCTCAAATCGATTGTACTCCAGTTGATACGCTGGATCATATTCTTGATGCATTCAAACGTGAGCATGAAGTGTATTACCCACCTCAGTTGGAAGCATCATATCAATTAACTGCCACAACAATCAGTCAGAAAGAAGCCGAAGCTTCCCATAATACCGTAATACCTATCCGTGAAATTTTCCCTATACAGTGTTTAGCTATTCATTAGAAGTGAAAATCTCATCTACTTGTCTCTAAACACCAACAGGACATTATTCAATACACCATGAGGTGTGGCGATGGAGGATACACGGTAAGTAGACTGAATCTTGTCATAGGGATTGTGTGGATTGATTCTGGTACATAAACTCACCCTTAAATTCGTCTTAACATTCTCAAGTATCGCTCTGGTTTCTATAAAGAGAAGATGAAGTTTATCGTCAAGAAAGGCTCACTTGATATGTAAACTTGAACAGGCGCATGTGAGAAAACAGACAAAGTGTTTCTGAGTCTATCGTTTCTAATCGTCCAGACAAGTCTCCACGAAGTAGGAGAAAAATCTGAGTGTGAGATGCTATCTCACCATGGACTCAACGTTAACGACATACTAGACTGTTGAAAGCGCCTCTCAAAATGTTCGACTCAAAATTTTTCAACTTACCATAAACTATCGTCCTCACGTGGTTGACATAACTGTAATGTGTTATCCTCCGAGTCAATTCATTTATTTCTGGAAAAGAAGGCAAAGCGCGAACACATATCATGGATAGGCATGATGATTCGACGACAGATGAGGACGCAAGGAGGCATTTTGATATTCGGAAGACGTCAATATTGAGCGAAGCAGTGTTCACTTCTCAATTAAACCCCCGTCAGCACACTCAACACATATATACACATATATGTCACAGTATTTCCAGTAACCGGGGGATGTTTTCAACAGCTAACTTTTTTCTCAAAACATTGACGATCAATCAAATACCAAGAGACATTGAGCGATAATGAACTCTAGCAATCAACCAACCAGGAGCCTACTGACCAACACATGTGCTGGAGAAAGTGGAGAGGCGTCTGACACACGCTGAGGAGGCCATCGGTTGACATAGCGAACGAAGCCATCGCTCGACCAGAACCTGAGTGGGAATCGACGATTAAGTGAGTGTGTCCGAGGGTAGTGACATTGAGGAGGTCACGTGGGGATCGCTTGAGAGCACATAGGCTAACTTGAGGCTAGCTGAATAAGACCGCTGAGAATAGGACGAAGTGGAGATGTGCTGCTGAAGCCAGTCACTATCAATTGTCATTGAGTCGAATAAATTGACAAACATCTGTCTGAGAAATATGAAGGATCACACTGATGGAACAATCTACCACAAAGCAATGACATGTTTCGAATTACCTTCAGTGCGATCAACCGACAGAAGACTATCACATTCACTTAAATCCGGCTGTTGTCCGACACCTATTCAAGAAGAAAGGATAGCATCGACAGTATTTCTTAGGCTACAATGAACATGTTGTGTTCAATATTATACTGGTCACCAGTATTCTGTCATTTGACTTACGGCTTGGACCGGCTGAAATACACAGACGTCAACACATACAACACACATTACTCGTTAATTATAACATCGAAAATATGTGAACGTATGGGCTGTGAATTTGGCCAACCGGATGGTAGAGTGAAATCGATTCTCAGTGAGTAAGCAATGAGTGACGCATCTTCAGAGAGAGATACTTGATGTTTTGAATCTACACAGGGATTGACCATGAGTCAATGAACTACCCATCTTCGGATTAGGCGCTATGCACACTGTTACTGACCGGATCTCAGTTGCTCTCAATTCACCTCTGAGCACTGTGAGCGGCTGACCATCAACTATTCAAAATCACGTACTCATTCACAAAATGATTGTAGCGCGTTGCATCGGATAGTAATCAACTGTATTGATTATGACAATCTAATAAACAAACCGAGTCACAACTCACTGACACTGGTTCACAAAATGACAACAGACGTATACAAAACCACTACTGGATGTCACCTATTGTCCAGTGACTGACGAATTCACTCAAATATCTAACAGATAAACACATCCGTCTTTTAGTCACACGCCTAAGCTATCGATGGCAACTAAGTCACCAGTTAAATATACTGGATTCGATCACAGCGATGTTTGACTGAGTCAGAAGAAGGAAAGGGAACCGTGAGCACAAGTGAAGCAAACCTGACAAACCAATAATATCAATGCTTACATTTAGATCCGTGGATTAACGATTCCCTCCAGATATCTCTGCTCTGAGATATGTACAGGTAATTCCCTGAATAGAATGCAAAGAGAACAGAACATTTAACGACCAGTAGTTCGAAAATCACCTGTCACATTGATCAGATGGCACAAATTCAATGGATAATTTCATGTTTGTCCCACCATCTGGCAAATATTAGTGGCCTGTATTTCACGCTTTTCAGAGAATAAATCAATTGAGTCTGTATTGTCAACGTCTTTCACCACTACGTGTCATTGCACAGAGATTGGATAAAATGCAAGCTACGCTTACACCCTCTTATACTGGTTGTGTCCATGTGACTGATAGTGAAATATGAGATGAGCATCTTAAGCAGCTGAAAACAGTCTGCCACACATACGCTCATCTTTCAATAGCAGTAGAGTGACTCAACTGAATCTCTTTCGAAAATCAGCCTTGACAATTTGCTGATTAGAAAAGCAAAGCGAACAACATCAAAGAGAATCTGGCATGAATTACGAAAGCGTACTTACCACACGACTGCTGTACCTCCCTGATGGTCTGTGAAACGTCTGAGGAAGGAGATGAATACAGGACAAATTCAAGACAGACAACAAATGAGATAATAAAGGGAGAAAATTCCTAACTATGAGATAATCCAATCGAATCGGTAGCACTATTCAGACAAATTGTTTAAAAAACTGAATGTTGGCCTTCACATGACTGTGTGATATTCAGTAGTGGCGTTGATTCGAAGTCTATTTAACGAGAGATTTCGATAGTCTAGTCATTTTGTTTTCAGGTTGAAGAGGAATAACAAATATTTCACGTACTTCTGTATATTTCCGGTTCGTAGTAGTATGTAGAAATATTGAATAGACAACTCACAACTAAAAGAAGGATTATTTCTCAATGTTGATTAAATTCGTTGACTTACACTTAGTGATACTTTTGCCCGTTTCTCTGGCCTGTGCTTCCAAGCGGTCTGAAGTGGGAAAGAGACAGTCAGTCTGTTGCCTCGTGCAATATATATCATGATTGCAAGACATTGAAGAGAGTGTTGTCAATATTGCTGCTTCTCAAATATCGAGATAAAGGCTGATGAATCAACAGACAGCAGTATGGCTTCACCAGTTCTCTGTCTCCACTGATAACTAGATATTGGTTTTTACACACATTTGAACAGCATTCGACAATTATTTACCGCATGTTCATGTACAGAGCATCTAACATCCTCCTCCAACTAGTAATGCAAAAACACATATTCCCTTGCAAAAACAAAATGTTTGTACGAAACATTGCGAAACTGTTATTAGTTACATTGTGACTGTCATCGAATTACTGGCTGTGAATCTAGATCTCACCACTGTCGTCCTTAGTAGGAAGCATAAATTGAGGCTGTGAACACTCCACGTTTGTTGAAAGATTAAGACAGAGAAGAAAGAGGAGGCTGAGTGTCAGGCTTAGTATTCTTGTAGTTGCAAGTGATACCATTGTGAATAATGAAACATCCTCGAAACATGATCCAGTGAATAAGCCTGTTTCACTCTGTCCATCACTTGAATATGTCCAACAACTACAATAATTTTCAAATATATACTACTATATCACCACCACCATCACCACAGAGTTTCAGTACCACACGCATAATATTTAGTCGAAGCATCATCGACACAACAAATTCAGAAATAACATACAGAATACATATGGTGAGTAAAAGCAGGCTTGTAAAAGCACCTTCCAATGTCTGCACGTTTTCTTCCGCAACGGCTTTCTTATTATTCATGTCGATTAATTGACCTGCAAAGCAATTACGAATGTTACACAAATGAATTGATAATGTATATAGAAATGATGGCGAATGTCAAATCTGTTCATCAGTCAAACTGGGTTCGTATACATTGACAGAGGTTTCGAGTGTTACAGGCTGGATATGCTTCCACCAACCAGCTCCAACGCAGATAACTGCAAGGTCGGAGAGAGAGAACACGATAAATCATTCCACAAATGAAAATGAAAGTGTGTTCAATAAACATAGACTTTATTACTTCATCAAATGTTAATCAAATCCATGTAATACTGAAGTATATTGAAATGAATTTGCTTACGTTCTTTAACAGTGATTGCTCGTTGAAATGTGGATACCCCTAGAAGTATAAGAGTCGCGTCTACAAAACAAGAGGGCTGAGCGTCAATTCATTCGATTAAGCTTGGTTGAATGTTATGACTTGTTCAGTTTCAAGAATAAGTGACATGGATAAAATGTGTGCCAGCATGTTTCCCATTTTATGAGAATGAATAATACTGGTTGATATGTTCAATGAGTAGAGTATTGAAGAGAATATCCCATTGGAGAATACGGAACGATACTGCTTGACATATCCTCTCACTCACTCCACAAGAAGTAACTTTTGTCCTGCTCGAGAATCCTGGGTCTCAAACCTCATCCAAGGGGGTTGATTGTGACAGACAGAAAAATGACTAGCTTCGCACCACAATCACCTAGTCAATGTGAATACATTGATAATTTAGCTTTACACTGTTAGGAAATATGATGTGATAAAGTCGATTTCTACATATCCATAGCGTGCAGATTGTCGAAGTTCAACGCAATAATCCTGCTGGATTAGATGCAGGTGTTTCACTTGCTGCATTTCTTCGCGGGTTTCACATGATGTCTTACCACCAGACTACTCGATAATAGCCTAAAATTAGCTGACAAACTACTAATTGTGGAAAGCAATATTCGAACGTGTGACATTGTAGAATTCTCGAATATTCATTTTTGAGTTGACTGGATATTCGACAGGAAACTTCACATTTCAAAAAAATTTACAAGTCAGGAACGCCAATGGCAACATGAATGCTTAAATTACTGTTCAATGTGCAATGACTCACCATAATCCTGACTCCGATCAGCAGCTTCAGAAGACGAGAAGTAATTAATTAATTGATAATATGTGCAAATGAGCATATTTAATCGCACGAATTCCTTGATCGACAGTGAGGGGGAAACATTCATCTATTATTTCGTACGGAGACCACGTAAATGGTGATCTTGTGCATTGAATCTGCACTGAGTACGTGTTTCAAATTGATGCGACTCAAGATGGCTTTGTAACCATGAAACTAAAATCATCAATGTACACAATTTTTGCAGGGAAATGTATCCAATGTTTGCGAGTTCGCGTTATGAGTATGTGTCAGATAAATAACAAGACTGGGTTGTCATACCACAATGTCGTGAGCCCATACTGCTGACTGCACCGAGTGGTATCAGCTTATCTTGATATCAATGTGTGCATTGGTACAAGAAGAATATTACGCATTGTTCTTCTGAAATGTAACACCGCTCACAATCAGTATTATGTTTTTGTCAAAAATTTGCTTGCAGGCACATCCTGCCACTAATGCATCCATTATGCAAGTTACACTGGTCCTAATAATCACTCGCTTCCAGATCACTTGGGTATTCTGAGCTCCTTAAGGAATTATCTGTGGCTAGGATGGGTATGAATGTTGCACTTACAACATATATTATTCAACTACTTATTAGTAAACGCCTCATTTCGAAAGAATTTGTTATTTTCAAGTATTGGTTTTGTAGGGATTTTGTTTGATTGGTTGGAGGATTTCGTCATGAGCTGACATCAGTTAGAGAACCATTGGAAAACCGACCGGAGGTATTTGACAGCTGTTTAGTCTTGCTTTGGGACTCTTTGCACTACGCACTCGCTGGACGTTTTTGCGTACTGGCTCTAATATCCAAGTATATGGAGTTACTTCATGCTATTTTCCGCGAAGGAATGTTCATCAAAATGAACATGAGACTAAACTTTCTAGAAAATCAATCGCAATGCTACAGATTTTTTACAAGAAGTCTAGTCAATGGAAATAATCTGGGAAGAGTGAAATAAGTGTTACTCTAGTTTCCATGATCACATATGTTAGATGTGTTAGACATCTTTCGAAATTGGGAATGACACCACGACATGAATTTATCATATGCATGGTGCTACACTTGTCAAGAGAAACAATCTCTGTGGTAGTGAAGGCTACAGTAGAGGGCTGCCATGACCACAGAACAAAAGAGAAGAAGTAGGCGAATTTAAAGTGCTTAAATCCTATATCACCTGGTACTTGCAATGGATTCGAGAATGCACTTCATTCATTTATTCGTCGAAGTCTAGTAACGTCAGACAACATGTTGACAGCAATTCATCATTGCTGAAATAATCATGGCAAACAAATCCGTACAGACAGTTACTTGTAGCTATTTTCCATTAAATATACCTCACACCTCGTTTACTACATCATCTCTGTTCTATCTAAGTGAAAATAAATATGCTGTCAGGAAGAGATGAAGGCCTGAATTATTAGACGTGAAAAGTGCTTGTTGGCACAATTCAGAGCAAGTGAAGTGGTGCTGAGGCTGCTACAGTCCCACTTACTCAATTATTCGTCTCATGTAAACATCATGTTGAATGATATCTTAACACTCGTAAACATATGGTCTACATCAAGCTTCAACCGAAATAGTAATGAACTTCTTGTGAATACACTTACTCTATGACAAAAATCATGCTGTACTACAGTGCCACAGTTCTCTTCTTATATTTCGAATACATGAGTTAGAATTTTCGTCATTGACTCCTACACACTCAGTTACGCCTGGGGAACCATAATCGCGCAACTTCAGGTTGACACTTAGGCTTTGTGGAGTACGTAACATCATGGTTGTACACTTCTTTTTAGTTTTAGAAATTAGAGACATTTCACATGATTTTTGTTTAAAATGATTCTTGTTAAAATACATATAATTTCCGTGTACAATTGGAAATACAATATACTGTTGGAGTCTTCGCCTTCTTCCTGGCCATTTCTGCTTACTTGCTCCACTCATACCGTGTTGTATACTTTGGATTTATTGCAGGAGTCTATTATCCTAATCCGAATACAACTCTACAACCGGCACATAGCATCTACCAGCAGACGCAACTCCAAGAGTGAACGCTCCCGTGGATTATATAGATAATTTGTAGCAGAGGACTTAAACTTTATATCCAAGTAATCCTTTTTATTAATATAACACTTTAGTGCATTTTTTATAGTTTATTTTTACCCATCATCTCATTGACTTGGATTATTATTCTCATATTTGTAGCGTTAATGAGCTCTCATAACAGTCCCCTACAGCTTGACTAAAGTCCTTATAGGTAATCATTTACATTAATCAATAGTGTTCCAGCGCAATTACACCTTAGTAAAGTAAGCTCGTATCCTAGGGAATACCAATCTAGGATGCCGAAAGCTGACCACAAGCATATTGAGTGGAACACAAAAATACTAGAGCAAACGTTTTGATTCAATGCAACACCGATGAAGTATATCTACACATATGGACTGGGAATAGTCCAAAATGAAATTCTTCGCTTGAGAAGTACCGCCAATTATCTCACGGAAACTTTTCAGTATCCAAGTTGCATCAAGTCTAAACTCTTTTGCATTTCAAGCTAATACAACTGGACGACCACATTTAAGGTTATCCGGCATCACAAACTGGAACAAAGAGTAATTCCATTACGGGTAAATTTTGTTTTGATAAAGTCTCACAGCGTCATACAGTAATGTTTACTGATAACATTACTGTATAACGCTGTGAGACTTTATCAAAACAAAATTTACCCATAATGGAATTACACTCTACCACAGTGCACAAGTTTTATTCTTATATCAATGGAACAAAGAGTACCTGAATGGTTATTAGTGAATGAGTTAACTTACTTTCCCTTCTTGTTGTTATATGCAAAATCAATTTCTGCAAATAATCATAAAGATCTGTTTGGTCACAAAACATTTGTTAGTGGATTTCGAATGTCTTCGTCTGAATGGAACTCCATCAACTTCCCACTGGATTCAAATAACACAGAGATCTCATTGCTACTCAACATTCTTAAAGAAATACAGATAAAATTGGTCGTACACCGTTTCGCAAGACATTGACAAGCAAATAATAATTAATTTACATAACCTCGCCTAGATTACTACCTCGCTAGTTTTCTAACCAGTCCCAAGCCCGGAGACAGAGTGAGGGTTGGGGCGTGCTGCTAGCAACTTCACCCCCAAAACTTAACCAAATTGCTACAGAAACTTCAACGCATAAATATATTAAAAATACTAAAAATATAAACAATAACCTTTTTTTGCTGGGATCTGGGAAGTGAATTGACGCAGGCTGGTGAAAGTCTGCGAGAAGCCAGTCAGCGGATGTGCCTTCTTTCAATGAAAGCAAAAATAAGGATGGGGATGTGCAATGTTCGTACAATGTACGAAACTGGAAAGGCTGTCCAGGTAGCCCGAGAGATAGTTAAATGGCTAAAAGTTAGGTTAGCAAATGGTCTTCGTCTAATGGTCTTAAACTAAAGCATTCCAAATTTCAGACTGTTAATTTCAGCTTCCGATGTAAATGAAAGTTAAATGAAGCTGTTGGTTCCTATGACCCTTTCAAAATTGATGATACTGATATAGAAATCAAGTCTGAAGTTAAATATATTGGAATAATTCTTTCTTCTGACCTATTCTGGTCTTCCCATATCTTAGCGATTTCTAAAAGAATATTTCGTCTGACGTTTTACATTAAGAAGTTGAGGCACTCAGGCATAACCCAACCCCTCCTCTTACAGTTTGTCAACTCGCGTATTTTACCTATTCTTCTTTACTGTTCACCCTTATTCTTTCCTATATTGCTTAAAAATGACTTTATCATACTTCGTAGAACTCTGAAGACTGTCAGTGGGGCGAGTGATGTCCCATCATGCAGTACCGTTGACATCATCATTGATAGGCACTTGATTTCATGCACCAAATTTGCTAAAGGAATTTTGTCAGATTGTGAGCATCCACTTTACCCGCAGCTCCAACGTTATGTCTTCTCAGGTAAAACAATAAGTCTTTCGAAAATACTTTATGCACATATGACTAAGTATAAAAATTCCACTACACCATATTTGTACATGGTGATGATGTGATGAAAATAGTGTTAGGCATGAACTAAATAACCTTCTTTACACTATGAAATAAACCATTTTTCCACCCTTACAACATCAGCCTTTATTGTTCTTGTTTTCCTTATATTTATAGTCCTCTCAATTGTTTTTCTTTGTATGTTTATTTTCTCAAGATGTTAACATCACTTAGGCTGTGTTATAACTATTAATTTTGCCTTTCCCCTCACTATACTGTATGTAGAGAACATAAGATTCAATAATCTATAACGTGCTGAAATTTTCAAATCGAATCGACAATGCTCTTTGAAACAAATTTGTGGTGATTATTTGTAATCGTAGTATTAGCATTTCTAGATGGCCGAATTACAAGAATCCAACCAAAACACAGAGAGGGCGGAATTCAGGAATTTTGTATTTAGCGGAATTATTATTCAATTCATATAAGAAATATATTAACAAAGAACAGTAAGTATTTAAACAATACAGAGATAGAAATTGTCAATCACCACATCCGCCACACGTCGAATATCTCCTTGCGTATTTATAACGATGTCTCGGTTTGCTTGCAAGTAGCTGCGACCTTCTAACTGATTCTGTGATATTATTTTCATCAGTATTATCTGGACCTATTTCTGAATTATTTCATTTATTGTCACTTTGTCCAGGTGTCTGTTATGAACTGAGTGATCTTTGATGTCTAATATCTTCACCACTCGATTTCCCATTTTTTGTAGTATGATTCCAACAGAAGGTCTACAAGGTCTAGAACTTCTGCAAGTTGTTCTAAGAAATTTCCCCCCAAACGTAGTAACCTCACCACGATGAACAAATTTCGCAGGGTTGAGACTAATGATGGGGAAGAATACTTTGTATTCAATAAGCCTGCTGAGAGTAAGAATGCCAACAAACCATCACTTGTTACGAAAAACTCCTCTCGAAACATAAGTACATCTGGAGGTGTTCCGCA